CAAAAAGCCAGCCATGAATATGCATGTCCCTCATGAATATGCACATTCAAGTGGCTGCCTCCGCAGACACTGGCTGGCGTCTGCACAGCCCGGGTGGGAGGCCTGGCCAGGTGATCTAGGACCACCGACTAATCACATCGGTGACCCTTGTGCCAGACAGCGCTCTGTGGTTTGCGAAACTCTTTACATCAGTTACTATGGCTGGTTCACAAAATACTTGGAGAGAACGAAAGGCATAGTTTATGTTTTCTTCCCATTTTTACCTCTTAAGACAGAGGCTTAGAGAGAATGAGATTCTTGTCTGTGTTCACACAGCGTCATCTGGGAGACGGATGGTGGTAACATTTTATTTGTTTTTATGTATTTTTTTCTCAGCTTTTCCCCCCATGTTCGAAAGTCGCACCTGCAGAAATGTTGATAGCATACTATGAATACTGTATACTTAGTCACCAATTGCCAACATTTTGCCCCATTCGCTATATTTCTACTTACATACTTCCCCAGTACCATTTAAAAGGCTTCAGAAGTAATGACACGTGGCTCCTAAATGCTCCAGCATGGTTAATAATAATCTAACTGACACATTGTTATATTTCATAGTGACTAAGTATCGTCACGTGATGATGCTACCGCGACCTCCCAGGGCTTCACATGAGGAAGTAAGACTCCGAGAGATCCGACGGTCACACACCTGTTCTGAAAACGAACCACCTGCTGCAGCACGCGGTGCCTGGCTGGTCCTGGCCCTGGACAGAGACCGGCAGCTCCTGCCCCCGCCCCCAGGGAGAACGGTCCCCAGTGACCTTGTCCCTAGCCGGTTCCCACGTTCAGTCATCTGTAACCACTCCCGTTCACCAGGAGTCTCCACTCAAGAAGAATCCCTCCCCAAGCCCAGGGCTGCCCCCTGGTTTCACAAGAGAAGTCTCTGTTTTCTAATTGACACGAGAAATGGTCTGTTCGCGGTGAGGTCACTTACACGCGGACAGACTGGGGAGGCGCAGGGCTGAAACAGAAATGGGCCTTTCCACTTGGGTCCCCCCGACACACACTACGGACACAACGGACAGGCGTGTGACGAATGGGGTGGGCGCCAGACACCGGGCAGAAGGAATGCCCGTCAGCACTCCGGGGGTGGGGGGCTGAGGAGAACGTCATTCCTCACCCTCCACCCTTCCTCCCTTCCTTCCTCCCTTCCTTCCCCCCTCCCTCCCTCCCTCCCTCCTTCCTTCCTCCCTTCCTTCCCCTCTCTCCTTCAGTCTTACCAAACTTTCCTCATTTCTCTGAACAGGCCACACCTTCCTTCCTTCCTTCCTTCCTTCCTTCCTTCCTTCCTTCCTGTTCCTCCATGAATTCATCAGCAAACAATCAGACAGCTCTGTCAGCACGCACTGGACTGACAGGTGCAAGCCAGAGTTGGAAGTTCAGGGGTGTCTGACAGGTGTTCTGATCCAGGGCCCAGGGCATGGGGACAAAGCAGAAGCAGGTGCCAGAGCTGGTCTTCGGTCAAGGATGGACCTGGGGCCTCGGAGACCAGGTCACCTGTCTACCAATTTGCCTGAGGCCATTTGGCCTGATGTTCTACCTACATCAATTCTCTGCTTATCAAATGGACAAAATGGTATATATAATAGGATTATTACTAGCATTCCGAGATTTTTAGGTGTTCTTTCAGAGATCTTTATTACATCGCCTATTTCTGAGCATCTCAAAGATTTTTTTTCATCCTACAATTTCTAAAGGCCCCTCTGTCTTATTCTGAAACATTTATTCAAAAATGGAAATATTTCATATTAATTTAATGTAATTAACTATTTCGAGCATTTCTGTGTCTGCACATATATGTGTTTTGAGGGTAGAGAGAGATCATAGCAAATTCTGAGATAGTACAGGGATTTATTAAAACAGATTAGTGCAAACCAACTATTTTTTCAAATATTTATTTAGATAATTCTGTTTGATAGTATAGATGAGAGAAACTAGATTAATCTGAAAGTATTTCACTGTTTTTAATATCCGAATCATAAATTAACTGGGATGATTAAGTAGGAATAATTACACTTGACATGAATCAATCACGCCATCTTTTTGCCTAATTTTTTTAAAAATGTAGATTTGTAAACAGTTTTATTATGAAAGTAATGTGTTGTCTAATCAAAGTTGCCCACTTTACATCACATTAATATGACGTGTGTTTATGATTATCGGTAAAAATGAGTTCCTAATGTGATCAAACTTGTCTGTTGACTCTCTACGGTTTTCTTGGTCTGAAGTTTAAAAATTCCCTTTGAGGTCGACCTGGCATCCACGTTTACAGCTCCGAGCTCCCAGCCCTGGGGCTCAGATTCACCGCCCAGTGCCTCTCCGTGCCCACCCCCAGCCCTCCAGGCCCCCAGTGGCCAGGCACGGGAGGGATGCAAGCAGGTAGAGTACCTGCAGGCCCTGGACTTCTTCTGACAATCTCGTGAGACGCTTTAGATGTGCAGGATGACTTTAGGTTACGCCAGCACGTGTATAGACAGAAAATGACTAAAAATTCCTCAAATGCTTCCAGCTGGAACATTAAAACTATCAAGATCCTGTGTCAGAATGAGCTAACACCATCACTTCCCAGACCAGCTGCTTACAGGATCTTTGTGGTGGGACAAGGAAGGTAAAGACGACCGGGCGGGAGCAGCCATCAAAGACCTGTCTGTATAACACACAAATTCCTTTCAGCTTAAAAAAAAAAAGGGGGTTGGGGAATAAAATTTTGTTACAAATCCCTGGAGGTTCTAACAGAAATCATCAGATGGCTTAGCTTACAGGAACGAAAACATCCATTCCCTACGTCACCAATTACGGACATTTTTTTCCGTTGCTAAATGAATTCTGCTCCGAGACATTAATATCCCTGAACATGTCTGAAAGTGTAGCATCTGAGTCCTACTGGTGATGCCAAGCTCGCTTTTCTAAGATATCAGGTTTTTAGCTCTGGATTTTACAAGATATATTTACACGCTTATTATATTGTTTCGATGACTCTAAAAGCTTTTGTTTGAAGCTCAGTAATATGTTTTGGGTCTGGAAAATGTTATGCAGGAAAGATACTGAAGAGGAGATTGTTTCCAATTATTTGAATAACCACCGAATTTGTTGAGGCATGAGAACGAAGGATTTTTTTGAATTCCTCCTGAGATCATCGGCTGTGAATAAGCTTGAGACTGAGCAGACCAGTCTCAAGCTTATCCGCTTGAGATTTCCGTCAGGGTCACGTGATACTCCGCTACTCATTTAGACGGTCGTGAGCTCAGTGCTTTTATACCAACCATGCTAATGGCCACCTCTGTCACCGTCGTTAACGTTATTTTAACTTCGTTCAGGCTAGAAGCTTTAGAATGGCTTTTGAAATTATTTCTTGAGAACTAACCCAATTCGTGCAGAGAATTTGTCTATCAACTGCATGGCAGACACACTATGTGTGCTTTCTAATCACAAAAAAATTCTAATAACGCCTCCCCCGTTCTAAAAAGCATACGACTCTAATAAACAAACCTTCACGGTGGCCAATTCCACATCCAGAATTTAACTGGGTCTTGCACTGATAGCGGGTGGCTGCGGCCGAGGGAAGTGGCCGCCCAAGGCCCAGAGAGACACAGGGATTCTCCAAGCTCCTGAGACCCAGGCTGAGTGCCGAGCAGGACGCAGGCTGCAAATGCCCCTACGGTTCCAGCCGTGTCGCAGGAGGAATGAGATCCGGTAAGTGGTCTCTCTCGTGAGGTTAAACAAGGAAGACAAACTGTCGTCACTAATTATGATAGGGTCTTCTTAAATTTCTAGCCTGCTAATCTAGAAACTGTGATAAGGCAGACTTGGCACATGTGATCGGGGATAAAAATGTATGATTAAATGCTGTCACCTGGAAATTGTATGCTGTGGTGCATGCTGGATGACACAGGGCTACCTGCGATGCAAACTGACTGTGCTTCAATTCTGTGCAACTATTTTTAACTCCGTGAGCCATCTGTAGATGGCTGCTGAGGAAGAGGGCCTGTGTTTAACCGTAGGATACACAATCCTGTAAACAAAATTAATTTCCCTTGGGACTTCTGAAAGCATCCTAAATGCATTATCATTTTTCTGTATAAAGGAAGCTTAGTAAGAAAATAATTATGGAATGGACTTCAAATGATCTCCAAATTGCCATGAAATAGAAGGCCGCCAACAGAGACGCAGGAGGAAGAAGCGAACGGTTTTGTTTGCTAAAATCTAGGGTCGACTTATTCGGAAGGTTGCATTGACCCTTTCCTGTTCCTTATCAGCGTATAGCAGAAATCCTTTGTCACCTTCATTTAAAAATTTCTATCCCTCTCCTACTGTCCATGGTCCTTCTGCCCTGTCCCCTCCCTCCTCTCCAGCTTAACCACCAGGCCAGGGTAGAAGCCTCGAACCTGGCCGTTCTGGGATGTGCTGACTGGGCCAGGGCAGGGAAGAGGAGTGAGCAAGTGAAGTGGCTCATTCATTCACGTGTCCTCATCGAGCACTCACTGACCGCCTGGGTTATGCCCGGTCCTGTCTACTTCCTTAGCGATGAAATCAAACACACACACACACACACACGCACATACACACACACACTCCTCTCCTTTAAGCAGCCTGACGCTTGGCGGGGCGGCTGGTGCACCAAGCAGGAACGACAGACGGGGCAGTGAGGGAACTGCTGGCCTTACTGCCGCTCCCCCAGCTGTCCTCGCCTCCCTGGTCCCCCACCGCCCCCCACCCCCAGTCTCTCCTCCTGACTCCAGCATGGCTGCCTGTCTCCTGAACACCGTCTCACTGCCCTCCTCCCTCTCCACCTCCAGGCTGAGTGGGGTTAGGGCTGTTTATGCAGGCACTGCACAACGTGCACGACGCCTGGCCCCAAGTCCCATAATCCCACACCATGGTCCAGCTCCAGGCCCGCGTCCTGGCTTTTCCCAGCAGGTCGGCAGCCCTCACAGAAGCAGATCTCCCAGGCCAAGGTCAGGCCTTCTTTTTCTAGCTCTGCTTTAAAAACGACACAAGTGCCTGCTGGCTGCACCACATCAGGGCCTGGAGACATCAAAGGTTTTATCAGACCCCTTTCCTCTCGGTCAGCAGAGCGGGGAGCAGAGCAGGCAAGAGGGGCGGGAGCAGCACTGTCTTCCGGGGATGAGCCAGGGCCCAGCTCCCTTCATGTCCAGGTCACTCGCGCCATGTCCCCTACCCCGGCTGTGCTCCCCGCACCCTCCCCAGTCCCCCCTGGGTGAGCAGGAGCCCTGACCGGTGCCCATCCACCCAGCTCTCCCCAGCCACACTCCAGACCACGGCTCAGGGGTCCATGCCTCTGCGTGGCCACGCCCCTCTGAGCACCAAGCTCACGGTGTCCCCACCGCCTTCTCGCCCGCTCCCCACCCTTCGCTGTCTCCCTGTCACCTCATGCTGCAGAGTACGGCGCCCTGATAACCCTCACGCTCTCCCCCCAGCAGGTGTCACCAACCCTATCGACCACCTCTGGGGGACTTCTGGTCTCTGCACCTAGCTGGCCACACGCTGTGCCAACCCTGCCTTCTGAGAGCCCAAGGCCCCCGTCACTCCGTCCCCCGCACCGCCAAGGCCCCGCCACCACAGCTCTCAGCTGGACGGCGCGACAGCCCCCTCCCCTGCCCTGCCCTCTCGCACTCAGCACCGAACAGACTGAAAACACATCTGTGCTGGCCACACTCCTCGAAACCGCCTTCAGGACATGCCCCGGGCTTCCAGCACATTCACACGTTCACATGGGGACTCGGTGCCGGCCACCTCCTGGGCTTCAGCTTCCCCCGCCTGGCCCCCGCCTCAGCCTCTCCCCGCGCCTCTGACTCACCGTGGTCAGTCTTGCGAGCTTGGCGCCCGGGGTCATGCTGGTCCCATGGCCTGAGGCATGGCCCTGTCCCCACGTCCACCAATGACGTTTCGCTGGAGCAAAGCCACGCTGTCCTGCTGCCCGTGGCTGCCACTGTCAGGCTGCGCTCGAGCCGCGTGGCTGAGACAGAGGCGGCGTGGCCCGCGGAGCCTCACGCTCTCACTGTTTGGCCTTTCCAGAAAAAGGTTCTGATCCCGAAGCGAGGTCTCACTGAGGAGAGAACGTCACCCTCTGCGCCTTAGTCCCCGTGTGAGACGAGGCGGGGGCTGCGGCCTCTGCCAG